CCCGGACCAGGGCACGAACCCGTGTCCCCTGCATCGTCAGGCGGACTCTCAACCACTGCACCACCAGGGAAGCCCAGCAATCTGGTTTTAACAAGCTTTCCTGGTGATTTTCATGCCTGCTAAAGTTTGAGAGGGAAAACCTTATTCTGAGTTCCATGTTTGAACCAGGGATTTAGTCTTAAACCAGATCAATGGATCTCTGCATCCGTTGTGTCAAGAAACGTAACAATACAATCATCACCAGGGAGTCAGTTACAGGCAACGTCAACAAGACACGTCAACAAGACTGTGAATGGATAATTGGGTATAATAAAGAAAGAATCAGCTCCCTGGGAATGCCTGCTCACATCCGTTTGGGGATATTTCCAACACAGAACTTGCATGCCATACGGGAATATTCTGCACGTTGAAAAAAGGATGCGCGTTTGATAAGCAATAATGCGTTTACTTATCAACAAACACAGTCTGTGGCTCCCAAAGGTCCAGGCAGCCAGCTGAAGCTGGTCAGGCCGGCCTGGCTACGGAAACCAAGCAGTGTCCCCTGTATGGCAGGAAGCCTCAGGACTCCTGTTTGTTTTGGTTTGCAGGTGCCACTCCCCCTTCCCCCTTCCTGTGTCATGGTTGCTTTGAGAACAAGCTCTTTAAATTGAGATAGTAGCCAATTCCAAATGCAGAGAGAAAAAGAAAATCTTATCTGTTTCTCCAAAAAAAATGTAATTGAGGCAGATTTTTCCTAGGATCTAAGTTATTCTTTGGCTGCAGATGTACCTTTGGAAGGGGTACAGCAGGGTCTCCCCACACAAGAAGTAAACCAGCTGGGTGTACTTCATACAACAGATGGATTTTGACCGAATTTGAAAATCATAATTTTGTAAATCAAATTACATTTTAGGGGCTTCCCTGGTGGCGCAGTTGTTGAGAATCTGCCTGCCAATGCAGGGGACACGGGTTCGAGCCCTGGTCTGGAAAGATCCCACATGCCACGGAGCAACTAGGCCCGTGAGCCACAACTACTGAGCCTGCGCGTCTGGAGCCTGTGCCCCACAACAAGAGAGGCCGTGATAGTGAGAGGCCCGCGCACCGCTATGAAGAGTGGCCTCCGATCGCCGCAACTGGAGAAAAGCCCTCGCACAGAAACGAAGACCCAACACAGCCAAAAATAAATAGATAAACAAATGTGGGGTTTAAAAAAAAAAAAAGAAATTACATTTTAAATTCAGCAGAGAAATTGCCATTTAAAAGGAATTTCGCAGCAGATCTTTTGCCAAGAGTATAATTATTTCATTATTTATTTCTTACTACAAAAATTTCCATACGCAATAAAACCTCAGTGAAGCAGAATTTTCAAGGACTTGGGGGATTCTTGTTATTTACTTCTTCTTTGTTTTTGATTGACAAAGGCTTAACTGAAAGAAAAAGATCCTGTTTCCAACTTTTGTTGAAAATCTTTCTAAAATGCTTAAAATTGATTTTTTTAAATTAGTGGGTAGTGGATATGTAACCAAGCTTTCTTGGTGATTAAATATTTTTGCAGCACATTTCTGTCAGCTGGATAGTGATAGAATATTAGGTTGAATTTGCATTGACTGTAAAATGATACACTGAAAACGAGTTACTAGAATATTAGGGTAAAACTTCCAGTTTTACTTATTTTCAGTTGATATTTTACCTAAGTATTCAGCAGAGAAGGATGTTGGTTTACTTAGAAACTTTTGTTGGTTGTTGGGTCTTGGTTGAAGTTTAACAGATTTACCTAATGAGTGTACATGTATGTTTAGAAAAACTAATAAATAGGAACTGAACTGAGTTAACCCAAAGTTAGATGTTGAAGCCCAGTGGTAGTCTTTGTTTCAACATTTTGTTGTTATTAAGATTAAGAAGTAGCTCTCAAGCAGGCCGTGTTCAAATCTGTGACTTGGGCAGCCTTCTGTAGATGGAGAGGATGGGAAGGGAAGCCAAGTTTAGCACCTTGATTGCTCACCTACACAGGGATTAATTTAAATTCAGTAAAACTTTTTGTACATTTACTATGACTCTTAATCCCTAACTCTTGGTGCCCCTGGAGATACAAAGATAAACAAGAGATGGCCCCAACCTCACAGAGCTCACAATTTAGGGTGGGAAAACTCTGGTATACGAAGGTGGGGTGGAGTCATGGGGTGATCCAACCAAGGGATGTATAGTTCGGGAATCCTTAAACCTGTTTAGGTGGTGGATGCCACTGAGGAACACAGTGGAATGCTGATCCATTTTATATCACTACAGAAGCTAGAATTGATCTTAAGAGCCGAAAACATAACTACTTAAATCTATGTATGTACTGTAAAATCACGACTGTGAACTCCCAGGCCCACAGAATAACCGCAAGCTGTTGAGCTGAGCAGGATGGACGGTTCCCTAATTTTTTTTGTTAACGTTAACACGCACCTCATTAATCCATGTTGTCATTTGCTAGCACTTGTAGCCAGACAAACAGTAACAGGTGCCCAAATTTGAAGGAAATGGAGACTTGAGAAAATTCTATCCACTAATTTAGTTTAAAACTCTGATTTGAGAAATGATGATCCCTCATTTCGGTAGCAGCTCAGAGAACCCCAGGGCTCTGTTGGAAGGGTACGCGAGCATCTGACGTGCTGAGAGAATGGGCATTGTGTCCAAAAAGATTTATCGCCTTTCCAGCCCCAGCCAGGCAGTCCCTCTAGAAAGTACCCGCTCTGTTCCTGGGGGCGGGGCAGGGTAGAAATTTCTAAATGGTAGGTATTCTCCTGGCTCAGCTTTATACCTTTCCTTGGCACTAATATTCCTTCAGAAAGTAGCTGCTCAATAAGAAAACTGTTGAAGAGTGCCACAAGGCTGGAATTTGGAAAAAATTTCCCTATAAAAACAATGTTATAATGATTATTAGGTTTAGATGAAATGGTGTTAAATTCATAATAAAAAGATGCAAATGGGTTGAATAGATTTTGTCTGCTGGTCTTGGAATTTATCCTCCTATTTATGACATTATTTATATGGAGTGGTGATCTCTTTCTTTTTTAGCTTCAATTAGCAAATATTTATCTCAAGACTATCACGTGCCAAGCAGCTTCTGGACGTGCTGGGTCTGTTTCCTCTTGTATTAAATGGAGACAAAGAGTTCTTCACCTCATAGGGTTGTTATGAAGATTAAATGAATTATAATATGTAAAGCTGCTCTGAAGAGTGTCTGACTTATCGAAAGTGCTTAATAAATATTAGCTGGCCATTCTCAGTATTATTGTATAGCAGTGTAATAGCCACTGTCCCTCCCCACAGGGAAATTCAAACAAACAACTTTCTAGCTGGGGCCTGCTTGTATTCTGCCTGTGTTCTGCTCTTTAAGGGACCAGCTGTTCTCTTGCAGGTGGGGCTGGACTGCCTTGTGAGCAGTTGGTATTTGTCTGTGTGGTTTGACTGGTAAGCAGAGCCCTTTTCACTTTTCCCCTGGGGCTGAAGGACGGCAGAGCAGGGAAGTGGTGGGGAGCTGCTGGCGGCTTCTGGAAACTCTAACCAGTGGCCTCGCCTCATGGGAATTGCAACTCTACCCCCCCTGCGTGTTTACTTGCCTTCCGGGGAAGGACCGAGTCTGTGGATATGAGGACTGCTGGCTTGCACACCTACTCTTGGAGGCTCTCTGCTTTGTGGACATGTGGGTCTCCCACTGCCTGTGGAAATCCTGTGAAGACCAAGTTTGCTGGTTTGATATAAAGACTTTCTGTCCTGATCTGGAGGAAGCAGGCAAGAAGAAAAACCGGACTTTTTCACTTTTCAAAATATGTCAAAGTCCTAGAGTTAGCTTCTTCAATGATAAAGTTCCAGAATTGTTTTGGACATCCTAAAGCAAAAACACCAGCTTCTGAAGCTGTCAAAGATTTGGGATGAAATTTTTACATGCTTCCTGCTGCTAAGCCTTGCTAGTCCCAAGAGGATTGAAGAGTGCAAGAACTACACTTTCATGCTGTTGAAAATCTTGGTAAAATGAAGCTTATTACCTTATTACCTTATTACCTTATTACCTCCTGAGTAACACCAAGGTATACAACTCTGTCAAGTTTAAGACGAACGGTGACAAGGGTAAATAGGAACTGTTCCTGGCAGAACCGAGTGGAGGACTGTCCTCTACAACTGATACTCATTTCACCATTTAGAGGCTACTTTTATCTTTTCTGACTAGTCCCTCATACTTAGCCCCTCTGCTTTCAGGGGTCTTCTGTTAATTTTGGTTGGGGTTTCCCTAAATGCCCATTCTTATCTCATGGTAGAATAATTTCCATCCATTCAACCAACAACTTCTATATGTTTTCATTCTTCACTGGTTTCCATGTTACCCATAAGGACCTGGCCTTTATGGGAAACAAAACAGAATAGAACAAAAACTAGGTACAAAGCCATTTAACCAAAAGTATATAGATTCAGTTTTCAATCTTGGTAGAATTTGCAGAATTTTATTATGTTAATTAAAAATTTTCAGCTTCAAACTTGGACCGGGCTTTACTAACAGAAGACATATTTGTTTTGTCCTCTGCTCTCAAAGTTCCTTGGAAAGTAACCATCTGGGGGAAAGCTTATGAAAGTATCTCTGTATCAGTATCTACTATGGGGAATACTGGACACTTTGAAGAAATACTCAGTCTTACTTTGGTATCATCTTTGGACACTGAGCTTAGTTTTAACTGGTTCTACAGTTAAAGGTGGGACATGAAACCGGTTTTCATCAGCACAGAGAAGCTGTTAGTAACTCAAGGACTGAATACCGCCTGTATCTTTTGAATGTTGGTGGATGGAGGAAGTGGCCTCAAAAACATGCAGGTAGACTTCAGATAAATCCTCTTTTTATTATTAGATCTTTCAAATTGAACATTGATATAGTGATCCTTCAGATTTAATATAGGACTGATGCTTGGATTTGCAAACAGGGAGTACAGAAAAAAAACCAAAGCGTATCTAACTGCTGAGATGATGTCTTCTGTGTTCTGTTTCAGTGTCAAACATTTCAAAAGACTGTAACTCTACACTAGAATCTTGATACCGCTATGGCAGCAGAGTATTCTTAGAGCTCAGGAGCAAGGGTCTCAGGAGGAAGAGAAGCAGAAGCATGAGGCACATGTCAGTGGAATCTCACGTCTGTAGCTAGACCCACTGTTTGACAGAAACCGGCCAGCTGTGATGGTAAAGGTGACTTTGGGGCTTATTTCGAAAGTACTTAAACATTGTGACTCACTGAACAAAGCTGAATAAGGAAGAAGTACAACTACCTGTAACCAAGATTGATGACCTTGATTGAATGAAGAAAAACTTACCTGCCTTGAGATGGAAAGATTGAGAGAGAGAGAAGTAGTATTGTGCGATGGATTCACCATATACTTGGGATCTACCCCATTCTAGTTCTAGCTGTGTGACACTGGGCAAGTTGCTTAACCTCTCTGGCCTCATTTTTCTCACTGTACAGTAAGGATATATACATGAGGTTAGTATAAAATAAAATGATGAACAGGTAAAGGGCTCAGCCCAGTGGCTGGGGCATTAAAAGAAAAAAAAAAACCCTGAATAATTATAAGTAGTATCCTTTATAGTTTTACTGGTATTTCAAGAATAAGAACTAACATGAAAAAGCAATTTTAAAATTAGGGAAGAAAAATATGTACATTTACTTTTTTAGGAGATAAAGTTGAGATGACTGTCAACATCAGCCATGGAATTCACTCAGAATTTTGATTCGTACTTTTAAGGAAAATACCGATATTAATTTTACTTTCTCTAAAGATAGTTTCATACACCAAAGTAATTTTATTTTGAAGAGTCTGAGGAAATGAGAAAATTAGAAAGGAAATAGCATATGAGTGTGACTATATTATAAAACAAGTAGCAACGATGAATGTGAGAACACATTTACCTTCTTAGCTTCTCCGGATCAATGAAGAAGATTTTGTAAGTACAAAGTGGAAAATTCAATATTCTTACTATTTAATCCTTTGGTATAAATAAAGATATTGTTATAATTAAGCCATACTTTTTTAATGATACTACACTCTTTTAATTTTAAAGCTAGATGGCTAATTATGCTGTATTTAAAAATTTTTAACTTTAGCATTTGCAAAGTGCTTTTAAAGTTTTTTGAAGCACTTTTCTGCTCTTTTAATAATTCAATCCCCAGAGTAATCTTCTAAGGTAGTCAGAGCAAGTATGGTACTATTTTTTACATTCTGCAAATGAGAAAAAAAGCAAAGGAGGTTGAATGACACAGCTAGTCGGGGATGGGGTTGGCACTCAGTAATGTTATGCTTAGAACTTAAATTTGTTTAGAATGTGTAGTTTGAAATCAATTAGATTGATCTAACAAACAGTCCTTGACAGGAGGAAGAATATTTTTTTTAATCTCCATTTCACTCTTTAATCTCAACGATGAGTCCTCACAATGTGTCTTCCCACTTAATCATACCACCTTCTTGTCTGAGTTCTCTGTAAATTATATTCCATTTTTTTTTGGAAAATGATATCTTAATCTACAGTATGATTATGTGGCACCTGTGTACTCTTTCAAATGAATAATTGTCACTGTTAAATTGACTCCAGACCCTCAGATTGTCAAATTTAGTGAATAGTTGGGTAAATATTATAAACTCCAATCTCATATTTGGGTGAAAACTGAAAACTTCAGTCATCCAGATATCTGTAAATACTAGATGATTGAAACATAGTTCTTTTAATTTTTCATATAGACCCATTGTCTCATGTATTGTAGATATGACTTGAGTGAGGAAAGTTTAGGAAATGTTTCTGAGTGCCCCATCAAGTGCTTGTTGGTTTGGGGTGTTTTCACATGCTTTTTTTTTTTTTTTTTTTTGGGTACGCGGGCCCCTCCCTGTTGTGGCCTCTCCCGTTGCGGACAGGCTCCGGACGCGCAGGCTCAGCGGCCATGGCTCACAGGCCCAGCCTCTCCGTGGCATGTGGAATCTTCCTGGACTGGGGCACGAACCCGTGTCCCCTGCATTGGCAGGCGGACTCTCAACCAGTGCACCACCAGGGAAGCCCCACATGCTTTCTTTTAAGGAAACTTTCTTTCACTCTCCAGAGTCTGGCCATACTTGGGACCTGCTGGATGACAGATACTCATCTATTAGTTCCTAGCGGGGCCCCAGCTGGTGTGACTTTCACACATTCTTAGAGAGGATCCATCTACAGCATATGCTGAAAATGACAGTGGGAGAAAAGAAGCAACATCAAGCCAGCTGCCTTTTTGCCCAAGGCAGACTGAAGAGAAACCCTTCGAAAAATAATCCTGTACGTTTGAGATGTCATTCATAAACAAAGGGAAACTACTTCCTATCTTTACACTACTTTGAAATTCACTCCTCCCCTCTTGACCCCAGCTTCTCTGAATCAGTTGAGTCACTTAATTGATGGGAATTAAATGCTGTAGAAGCTGGAACACATGTTTAAAAGAGTTTTGAGAAACCTTACTTAGGGCTTCCCTGAATCAAGGTAAATAAGGAAAGAGTCACCTCTTCAGCCCTTGGGAACTTCTCATGTTTTGCTTAGTAAACACCTGTAAATTTTATGGCCTGTAGTGCTTTCTTTGAGTTTGGCCCCCTTGCATTGTGTTATTTCTGCTTTTATCTTTTTTTGTGCACAAGCCTTGTTTCCCAATTAAATTGAGGAATAGGACACATTTTATAGTTGTGTATCTCTTTAAGTTCTTACATATTTACCCTGGAAATCTACACAGAGGAGATACTCAACACAATGGTTACTGCTAATAATAATTACAGATTTCCTCTTGGAGATTCTGATACTCTCCATCCCCCACATGGGAATGGAGAGTGTATCGCTTTCCTGGAGAGGCATTTGTGACCTTAGTAAGTTGACAAGGGGTGTGTATAAGCATGGCTGAGTTGGAAAAAAGACTCAGAAATTCTTTAGAGAAATCAGTATAAATTAAATATCAAAGAGTCATAGCATTCCCCTTGCTTAAGAGATCTATTTAGATTAAGCAAAAATGTAACAGTCTGTATGATCAGGCCACCCAAGATGTCTGTTCTCTTGCTCTCTGTACATCCCTGGCTGGACCAGCGCCTGCTTCACCTACCCTCTACTCACATGACTGACCTTCCTATATACTTGCCCCCAACCCAGCTGGTGATTGTTCTAACATTTAGATAGAACATCTCCACCTGATAGCTTTTCAAAGGGGCGGTGAGGGGCCTGCCCCCTGCTAGTTTCCCTGGTAACCCACGAGCCAACCTGACGTCAGTTCCCCCTATAAATGGTAACCTCCCCCCTCCCTCCCGGAGTGAAGACTGCAGTCACATCCTGCCCATCGTCAGCTGCGCATGGTGGGGTGTTTCTCGGGGACCTTGCTTCAGACGTGTAAGCTCGCCCACCCTCTAAAAACCATTGATGTCTCTGTCACTGACTCTGGGCTCTAACTTTGGTCTTGAAGCTGGGCCAGTACAGGGTGCAGCCCAACACAGCCCAAACTAAGTTCAGTCAGTGTGAAGTTTTTTCCTTCCTTGTAGTTAGTTCACCACATTTTAGACAAGGAATTAGCTTCAAAGACTTTGTTGGGAGACAAGATAAATTATATAAGTGCAATTGTTTTTTCATTTGGAGAAGACAGAGAGAAAGATCTGTTTACTCAAAGGACCAAGAGAGTCACACAAACTTCACTGAGCCTAAGTAAGTAGTATCTTAATTCTCAAAACAAGCCACACTTGAGCTGATAATCACACACAGGAAGGTGTTTCAGCTCACCACCATAATTACAATAACCTCAACAGCGGCACACCTCTCCTTCTCTACCTCCCTCCCCTTGTGCCCACTTCAAACTTTAAATCTACCTTCATTTTATTGGGAGGAGCATCTTGACTTGTGTCAGTAAATAGTACTTTGGAAGCTGGTCATTCTGGGAAACAGCAAACAAGAAGGTCCTAATGGAAATGGAGACTTCCTTCATGGGTTAACTATGGAAACAGGCATTTCTTTTTCCTTCCTCTGGTGGAGACAGATTTTTCTTCACTGTGTCTTTGTGTGTGTGTGTGTGTGTGTGTGTGTGTGAAGTCATCAAAGTAATAGCACATACCATTCCAGGGATTTAAAAATAATACATGGCTGCGAAGTGGAAAATGGAGGTAATTACTATATTTGTGTAGTTTGGGTCAACTTCCTTTTGAACTGTACAAATAAGATGTCTATTTTTCAGATAATTGCCTAATTTTTGCCAAGGCAGTTTGTTTACATGGCACAAATAACCTGAGTAAACCTAAAGAATGCCTTGAGTGGGGCTATCCCTCTCTATGTTGTGTTCATAATGGCATTTAAGGTTGGCTTTAGAATTTTAAGATATATTTACATAGTGTGTATCTCTCAAAACTACTTCACTCTGTATATAAATAGGGTTTGCTTTGAAAGACATTGGACTGGGACTTCTCTGGTGGTGCAGTGGTTAAGAATCCGCCTGCCAATGCAGGGGACATGGGTTTGAGCCCTGTTCTGGGAAGATCCCAGATGCCGTGGAGCAACTAAGCCCTTGTGCCACAACTACTGAGCCTGCGCTCTAGATCTTGTGAGCCACAACTACTGAAGCCCATGCCCCTAGAGCCCGTGCTCTGCAACAAGAGAAGCCAGCACAATGAGAAGCCCGTGCACAGCAACAAAGAGTAGCCCCCACTTGCCGCAACTAGAGAAAGCCCGTGCACAGCAACGAAGACCCAATGCAGCCAAAAATAATAAAAAAAAAATTATGAAAAATAAATAAATGAAGGACATTGGACTTTCTGCCTGCTCAAAATACCTCTGCTAGACCTCATATCACCTTGGTTGGAATTTCCTTTCATTAGCAGCCAGTCTGATCCCCAGAGACTAATTTGCTGAGTAAACTTCTGTGTCATTTAAACTTAGACTCAATTTCCTCATTTGTAAATTAAGAGGTTGAAGAGCTCTACTTTCTCTGGTCTGTTTTTCCCTGTTTCCTTCCTTCTCTCTCCAAATCACTTAGTTTTGTGTTTAGTGTTTTTCTGTATTCAATTTGCAAAGTGTTATAGATAATTTTAATTATACTGCAATCAAAATGTCAACTTCTAAGGAAAACAGATTCTAATTGACTAGTATTGCTCTTAAGCACTTTCTTATCAAGGAAGTGTTCCCTCTGCAATTCCCTGATAACCATTCTCTGTAAAGACTCAAAGAAGTTCTTAACCTCCACTCGAACTTCCTTTCTTGTTTCAGACCTTTACATCATCTTCATTACCTTCTATGCTTCCACTAGTGAGCTAATGGCTACAAGTAGTTGATATAGAGATAGCTTCAGTTTTATGAGGTCTTCCTTTTTTTTGGAACATTAGGCAGTGAAAGCAAAATAATTTTCTCTACTGTCTCGTAACATCTTGAACTGACAGGCACACACCTCTGTTGGGAGAGAGATACTTAATTTTAGTAAGGCCAGGCCTGCTTCCTATGTCCACCACTATA